CACAGCTCCCAGCGCCGGGCGATGCACAGAAGCCCCTGCTCTGGCCTGGGGCTTGTCCCCAGCCCCACACTCAGAAAGACAGTCATCGAGGATACAAATAACAATAAGTGCAGAACAGTGAACCTCATACACTGTGGCTGGGACTTCATGCCCCGTGGAAAGTCCTCAAAAGACTGAGAACAGCACCGCCATCTGACGGGCTGTCCCAGTGCGTGGGTGGCGTCTGTCCCTTCGAAGTCACGACAGCTCAGGGCAGAGGTCAGGGCGTTCCCGGGTTGATAGCAGCAAACTCGCAGTGGCCACCTTCAGAACCAKCTGGGTTCTGTCCTCGGATGGTGGGTGAAGGACATGTGGTCTCACACACCATGGAATTATTATTTTTTTTTGGCATAAAGAAGAAAAACATTGTTTCATTTTCAGGAAAACAGCTGGAACTGAACAGCATCCTATCAAAGAAAACAGGCCAGACTCAGGAAGAGCAGTTTTCTCTCACACGCGGAAGCTGGAGAGGAAAAGGGGGAAGGAAGGGAGCCCATCAGAGGAGAGGAGTGACCAGGGAGAGGGGCGGAGAGGGCAGGGAGGGGGCCRGGAGCAGAAGGACAGGACTGCCCTGCGGCGGGTGAGGTGCCTCCATGAACCCCGCTGCTCTGTATGATCCATAGGCACCGATGAATCAAAAGTGCAGTTGTCTCATAGGAGAAAAAGGCKCCAGAAACACACATTGGAGGACAGATAGCCTCTTCACTGGGAGGACTACAGAGCCATAAGCAGCAGACGGACGCTAAACCCCGCTCTCTCACCAGGCACAAGACTCAACTCAGAGTGGATCAAAAACCTGGGAATCAGACCGGACACCCTGTGAGAGTGGGAGCAAAGGTTGCCGCAGTCTGGCTGGGCACAGAATAACCGAGCCGCCACGAGGCACTTGTAGGTTCAAACAGGAACTCCTTTATTGCCCGAGCTCCCCATTAGGACATGAGGTGCCTCCTTAAGGTGTAAGGAATTTATAGGGTATCCTATCATTTCCCCCTTTTTGTTACTGAACCATAATTTATATAACCCAAGGAGACACTGAGCACTTGGAAGCGCACAGTCCAGCGACACTGAGCGCACAGCACATCACGCTCTCTCCACCTGTGTTTGTTTAGTTCCCAGACATTTCAGCCCCCCAAAGAGAACCCTGTGCCCGGTTAGCAGTCCCCACGTTCCCCACACCCCAGCTCCTGCTTTCTGCATCTGGATGGCCTCCTTGGCCTGTGGCCTGTGGGTGGACCCCCTTGCCACCGGGCACTTGGTGTCTGCCTTTCACTGAGCACATTTCAAAGTCTGAGGAATCGCAGGATGCGTGCGAGGCTGCGTTCCTCCTCAGCTGGGCCATGTTCTATGCAAAATCCYAGTCCTCGCCCCATTTCAGCCTCAAGCCAGTGCTGAGACCCGGATGCTCAGAATACGGTCCAGGGCCCACGTGGTCCTAAGGTTCCTCCAATGTGGGCGATTCCCGCYGTCCTCGGGTTCTTCCCTTAGGGGTTCCGGGCGGCCTGCACATGGTATGTTGTATGTTCCATTCCCAGTTTTCTTTTCAGGTCTCCATACTGCTTTCCAATTTGCAGTCCCACCAGCAGTGTATGTATGAGTGTGCCTTTCCCCCACATCCTCACCAACATTCATTGCTGCCTGAATTCTGGATGATTGCCATTCTGACAGGGGTGAGATGAAATCGTGGAGTAGTTTTGAGGTAGTGAGGGAACTCAGGTCTGGGGTAACCAAGGCCGTGCCCAGGAAGAGACCTCTGGGCGCAGCAGTGGCTTCTGCCCTAGCCTAGAAAGAAGACCTCCAGGCCACCGCAGGCTGGCAGCAGCAGAAGCAGAGGCAGCAATGGCGGTAGCGGTGCAGGCAGCTGTCCCCAGAGGGTCAAGTGAAATGGGAGTCCCTCCAAATCAGACAAGCCCTAAGTTCCACCGGGCTCAGGCGCCCTSACACTGATGAAATTCCCACCAGCAGGTTGGTGATAGTTTAGCTGGGTATAGGATCGGCTGCACCCCAGCACCCTGTACGCCTCTGTGGTTCTCTCCGTTCCACCCACCTTTTAGCCAGCTTTCTGCTGCAGTGACAAAATGCCTGAAGAACACCATCTTCGAGCAGGAAAGGTTCATTTTGGCTCATAGTGTCAGAGATTTCAGTCCCTGGACCCCGGGCCCCATTGTTATGGGCTGTGATGGGACAGAACAACATGGTGGGAGAGAGACCGAGAGAACAGTGCACTCACTTTTATAACAAAATCCTTTCCTCAAAGCCTCAGGATACGAATCCCTGAGTGGATYAATCCGTTGATGAAGTCAGATTCCCCATGATCCAACCAATCACCCCTCAAAGGCAAACACCCTGCACGGGGACAGGCCTTCAATATGTGAGTGTTCAGATCCCAGCCCTGATGACCCAGGGAGCAGGATGGCTTCTCGGTCATGTTCTGGGCTCRGAGGGCAGGTCTGGGGAGGAGAGGAGCCCTTCCCGGCACCGGACTCCTCCAGGGAAAGCCCTTCAGAGGGAGACTCCTCCTCGTCCCAGGAACTGCCCTCCTAGAAGCTGCCGCCCCCTGGCCCTGTGAGGAGGATGGTGGGGGCTGTTTCCTGCTCCAGGGTGACTAGTGACCCAGGCCACCCCCATTCTTGAGCAGACACTAGGGGATCTCCTCCCAGGAGCACTAGTGACGAGCACGGAGCAGAGTCCCCAGGGCCAGAGGAGGAGCTGTGGGTCAGAGAAGAGGGAGAGGAGGCAGGAATGACCCCAGGAGTGGATGGAGGAGCGGGAGACGCTGCCTCTTACGGAAATGGGGAAGTCCAAGGAGGAAGTTTGGAAGCACAGAATGACGCAACTGGCTGGCGGGACTCCGACTTCCCTCTGTGCGCCAGCGAAGTCTTGCCAACCTTTTCCTGAGCCTCCTTCTCCCTGACGTCATCATCCCGTGATGCCCACTGGCTGCTCCCCCCAGCCCAGGCACAGCGGGGAGCTACCCTCAGCCCTGGGGCTCTTCTCCCCTGTGCAGAGCTAAACTCCAGACAGCACTGCCCAGAGCCCTTCCGACCCACGTCCCCCGGCCASCTGCACAGCCCAGGCCTGGAGAGGGCTTCGGAAGTCCTGTCCACGCCCTCACACCAGACCCCCGGGCTGTACTTGGGATCTCGGCCTGAGGTTCAGGGCCGTGGTGACCAGCGAAGCTGACTCCGCACCAGCAAACCCAGCTCCTCCCTAGGAGGCAGCCCCCCCAGCGAGCTCCCCACAGACCTGCCCTACAGACACGACTCCCAGGGCCTCGGACACACTGCGCCTCTYGGTCAGCTCCAGAGACACGCGGAGCCCCGACGACACCTGCCCACGCTCCTCGCCAGGCCAAGGATCTCCCAGTGTCACTCCTCCGCTGTAAATGGGCTCAYGGCCTTGGGTCCGGTCCTAGGAGAGGCAGGAGGTCCACGGGCACCACTCAGAACACCAGTGGGCACATCGTCTGGGTTCAGGTAACTGTTGGAGAAGTGTCCGTTTGCTCTCAAGACCTCCCTGCTACCGTCCACTTCCTTCCTGGTGATGATCGTAAAAATGCTTGTGTGGGCAAGAGGCCCTGCAAGATGAGAGCCCCTAGGCCCCTGCTCCCACCCTTCTCCAGAGCGGCCCTCGCTCCGGGTCAGGTGGTTGCCTCTCCACCTGTTGTTGAGTCTCGTCCCCTTTTCTCCGTCCTGAGAAGCAGAGAGTCGAGCAGAATTGCCCACTGCCCTGTGTGCTGGCCCTGTCTCCACCGGTCTGAGATCCATGGGCCCAAGGAAGGAACCCCTCAGCTCATCGAGCATCCTCATGCCTGGCCAAGGCTGGACATGGTAAGTGGCCACTGGGGGATGGTGTAGGAGAGAAAATATTGAATTTACAAAAGGTTTGGAAGGAATGGCCTTGACCGAGCATGTGAAGAATCCATGACAGAGGGACTTGGAACGGGGTCCAGGGAGCTGCGCATCAGGGGCTCAGGCCTGCTGAGCTGGCCCACCAGCAGGCGGACCTGCATCTCTGCAGCATCTCCAGGCTGGGCAGACGGCTGGTCCTGACAAGGAGCCCACAACCCTGGGCCGTGGGCGGGCTGAAGGAGAGCCAGGGAGGAGGAGCAGCCCCAGGGTCACTGTGGCACTAGGTGTACCTGCCTCAGCACACTGGCCTCAGTGAGAGCAGGACAGGTCAGGCAGACAGCGGAAGGGGTGAGGAGGGCACCATTGCTGTCTGAGCTGCTCGCATGAACCCAGGCCTGACTCAGTTGGAAATGAGAACCAGGCTCCTGGGGAGGACAGTTCCCCTTCCTGTGGGGCTGCTGTTGGGACAGCCCTTTGACGGGCAGGACACCACCTCCCAGTGGCCCCACCCTGTGTGTGTCTGTCCTCCAGGCTCTGTGACCTCCACTGGGGAGAGACGCCATGACCCCCATCCTCACGGCCCTGCTCTGCCTTGGTGAGAAGAAGGGAGGGGACACCCTGTTCTGGGGGACCCAGCCCACAGCCAGGAGACCCAGGGCCCAGGAGGCTGTGGGGGGACAGGGCCTGCTCAGGCCTCAGGGGCTCCCCTCTCACAGGAACTCTCTTCCAGGGCTGAGTCTGGGCCCCRGGACCCGAGGGCAGGCAGGTGAGTGTCCCCAGCTGTCCAGGTCCTCCTCCTGGGGACCAGGAGCCACCCTGGGCAGTGGGTGGAGAACAGAGTTGGGGCTGAGGCTGGGGAGCCTGGAGGGGGCTGGGCTGAGGCTGGGATCTGAGGGGCTGTGCTGGGACCCAGCCTCTGATGCCCTTGCAGGGACCCTCCCCAAGCCCACCCTGTGGGCTGAGCCAGGCTCTGTGGTCGCCCGAGGAAGGCCAGTGACCATCTGGTGTGAGGGGCCCCTGGGGACCCAGGAGTACTATCTGCATAAAGAAGGACATGCACAGCCTTCCAGAGAGTCTCCGCTGGAGCCAGAGAACAAGGCCAGGTTCTCCATCCCGTCCATGACCGAGTATCACGCAGGGAGATATCAGTGCTACTATCACAGCCCTGCTGGGTGGTCAGAGCRCAGTGACCCCCTGGAGCTGGTGGTGACAGGTGAGAGGACACTCAGGGGTCCCAGCCCCAGGCTCTGCCCTCAGGGAGGGGGTCTGCTCCCAAGGGTCCCTCTCACAGCCCAGCTGGGGGTGGTGTGGGAGGAGGGAGCCATGAACACCTGCCTCCTTCTCTCCTAGGATTCTACAGCAAACCCAGGCTCTCAGCCCTGCCCAGCCCTGTGGTGACCTCAGGAGGGAACATGACCCTCCAGTGTGGCTCAGGGCAGGGATATGACAGGTTTGTGCTCACCAAGGAAGGAGGACACAACCACACCTGGACCCTGGACTCACAGCGACACCCCAGTGGGCAGGTCCAGGCCCTGCTTCCCATGGACCTGGTGACCTCTGGTCAGAGGTGGACATTCACATGCTACGGCTATTACAGGAGAACCCCGCAGCTGTGGTCAGTTCCTAGCGACCCCCTGGAGCTCCAGCTGTCAGGTGAGAGAGCCTTATTCTTCACTCGAGTCCCCAAAGGGTTTTCTATGATCCCTGCTCTCAAGGGAGCCCCGGTGGGGAGGGCGGCTCACAGGAGCTTGGACACACTGAGCCAGAGACCAGAGTGACCTGCAGGAAGGACGGGGCAGGCAGGGGTTGGCAGGGTCCAGCCCTCAGCCCAGGCTCCTCTTCCTCCAGGGGTGTCCAGGAAGCCCTCCCTCCTGACCCAGCAGGGCCCTGTCCTGGCCCCTGGAGAGACCCTG